ACTTGCCCAAGTAAATAAGTAAGAAGCTATTTCATTTCCTTCTCGACCCGCTGTAACTTCATTCCAGATCATGCCTTAAGTTTTATCAGTTGTTGCATCATAAATAGTACTATTTAACTAAGATATGTTCCATGGTACAGACATTTTAAGGTAAATCTGAAGTGTTTTTTCTGCATTTGGGTCTGAACTTGATATTGTATTCTTTTTGTTAAGTTCACTAATCAATATCTTAAAGTGTTCTGCTACGAAGACTTAACGTTAATGTTTCATAGCTGATGGTTTCAAGTGTGTATTGTGATTTGTTTAAATAGTTACTGAATGTGTTTTATCTAACAATATGGTTAAGTGTTGTACTACACCTACATTGTATATGTGATCATTTCCTTCTTTGCTCTCTTCAGTGACCATGCTAAACGAGGTATTCTTGTTCAGTGGCTTTTGCAGCCAATAGTCACAATTTTGTTCCGTTTTCTACATTTTCCCTCATCAGGGCCCTGATTCTATTTCATTTCGATGTCGAAATTTAAAAGCGACTACGCCATGACAGTCGCAATCGCTAGCGATTCTCATTCATTTCGATTTTAGTTAAAAGTGGGGACATTTACTTTATCATTTTGACACTGCTCAGAATTTGGGTTGGCCGTCTTGTTTATTGGCTGCACGCTTGTTAAATGTTTGTTTTGTTTAAATTTTACGATTTTTGTTTCTTGTTTGAGTTGTTAAATTTTTAGTGGCCATTCTCAATGATTATATTTTGAATTGAAAGAAAATGGATGGAGGCTGTTGGTGATGGTGGCACTAAATTGTCTGTGGACCAAAAAGAAATTATGATGGCTTTTGACTTGTGGTTATATTATATTTTTAAATTTACTGCAGCTTAGTATTGGTATTACTAAAAACAATACATTACTGCTCTAAAAATTCTTGATGAGTTTAAAGATTATTTTATATCTCCAAATAAGAGTGTAGAATTAAAATAAATTATTACAACCAAATTATTTATTATTTCTATCTTCCAATCTTGTGGTTTCCAATTTAGTTTTAATATTGGGACATTTTATTTCTGTAATTTTTACACCACAGTATATTTAAAAAAATAATCAGTAGCATCTGGCTTGGGGCCCCCAGGTACCGCAGTTCTATTTTTATAGGTGTTAAAATTTCGACCAATTATGTGCCGAATCACATACAATTTCTGATAAAACGCAGCCATATTAATACTTTTTGCCTCAGTTTTCGTTGCAACAATCAAACAAAACAACACCGCCTAAACTGAACCTAACCTCGCTTCTCCCAGTCCCGCTAGTCATGTCAGATTAATTTCGACTCGAAATTAAATTTCAACCACTTTCTTGAAGTTGAAATTAATTTCGATAAATCGAAATTTAGTGACGTCCTTTGGTTAGTTCAGCTGAAATCCACTAGGCTCGCAAAGTCGCATTTCGACGTCGCCATATTGATTTCAACATGTTTTCAGTCGAAATCTCAATTAGAATCAGGGCCCAGGACTATTTTTATTAATTTTTGTTTGTTGTTGTATCCCATTTCAGAGGCAGAGTTTGAGGTTATTGTTAGTTCATGCTCATGTATTGGTATGCTTGTCACTTTTCATATACTAGGTTTTGGGTGAAATGGTAAAGGATTTGGTTGAGATAAATATTGTGGGATAATTGGTTGCATTTGTGTGGATAAACCTGGCATCTGTTGATTTACAACGTCATTACGTCAGTTTGCTCAAATCATAGATAAATAATATAATAGTAGAAATATTTGACCGTCTGAAGTTCGTGTCAGACTGTCAAATATACGTCATAATTACAGTTTGTTCAAATTTTAAAAATATAGCTGTCACAGTCACAGGATCATTCTAATTTGATCAAATTTTTATTGACAGCTGTCTAATGACGTAAGTCAATGGAATTAATTGCCTCTTTTACTTGTTTATTTGTATAGTTTGTGATTTATTTACAATTAAAATTGTTCTTATTCACCATGAAAATAAAAATACTAAAAGGAGTTATGACTTGTTTGGCATATTTCAATATTGGTGCAATGAACATAACCTGGCATCGAGCTATATGTTTGTGCGAGACAGTGTTGCCACTTTTTTGTATAAAGTATAGGAGTGTTTAAAATAGATTACTTTGACGAAATTTTGTATAATGTTTTAAAAAACTTATACAGAAGTAAAATGCTTCACATTTGTATTTAGGTATATACTTAGGTAAATGTGAAGTGTTTTACTTCTGTAAAATGTACAAGCCACAATTTTTGAATTCATATTAAAAAGCATTCAAAAAATAGTATTTTTTACTTTAAATACAGCTAAATATTTAGTGTATTCTTTTGTTTAACCTAATTTTTTTTTCATTTAACTTTACTTTATTCTGTAGTTTATAAAGTTTCTAAACTATTAATTTTTACCTTAAGCATAATTTTAATGGTTTTTATTATATAAGTATTTTTAAATGTAGAAATGCAAGATATAATTTTAGTTTATAATATTTATAGGTATAATTTTAATGAATTATATATGTATTTTTCAATACATTTTCATTTCATATAAATCTTGCCATAATTTTATATGTGAGAGTGGGAAATATTTGAGTATATGGCAACACCATGCGTTCGTAGTTCTCTGGCAAGGAGCGACTAATCGTAGAATTGAAATCCGACGTTGCCAAGTGTGTGATTGACACATGGCGGCGGCAAATTTAAATCATCGGTAGTAGTAAATTTTATATTGTGGTAATTACAATAAATGAAATTCCACTAATTATAATAATATAAATATTTTTCTTAATAATAAACATAATGAATTTATCAACTTTAATGTGGAATATAGTATTGACTGTTAATGAATAACGTTCATTACATATACCTAGCATAGTTTTTTAAATGGATAAAAAATAAATAAAAATACAAAATACTTGAAAGACTAAATATTTTATTGAACAAATTAGAATGTAACAAATAAATATTTATAATAATAACTATAAGCTATACTGGGACAGGACTGTACTCACAGACCAAACAATGGCACACAATAGACCAGATCTCATATTAGTTAATAAACAAACTAGACAAACCACAAACCTGATTAATGTGGCGATACCAAACAATAATCTGCGTATCAAGTACACCGAAAAGATCACCAAATACAGAGATACTCCAATCTACCAGGTCACCTAGGACTAGGAAAACACCTAGATAACACGGAAAGAGTCCCCGAGAGCTCAATCCTTTTGATACCCTAGGTATCTGGGATGAGTAAATTTTCCCTTTAGAGGGAGTGTGAGCCGCATGGCTTAATTCTGGGATAATAATAATAATAGCGTTTATTGCCCAACAGTTACCCATTTACAGAGCAATTTTACAATTCAATAATAAACAATTATCATGCTAACAAATAAGTACAAAAAAGAAACAAATATACGTTATACCTACCTAAAGAAAACAAAATATTAAAATATGAAATATATTAGATAAGAGCTCGACACTTGTTTTTTTAATTCATTAGCACTACAACAGAAAATATCACAATTATGTATTGGATAGTTTGTTTGCATTTCTGCACATTAAGTTGATTGATGCTTTAAACATTATATTCGTGTAAGATCTTTTACACACAAATGTATTATTATATCGAGCTGTTACCCGTAGAACACAGATATCGATTTATGATAGTAGATTAGGTCAGTCAACCTACATTTAATAGCTTATACAAAAATAATATTGAAGACTGATTTCTACGCATTTACAAAAAAATCAAATCTATCTAACAAAGCGACTTTACTTTTTTTTATAATATTCCACTTGTTTTGGTGTACTATCAAATGAAATAGTCAATGATCGTTTGTTCTTGATTTTCTTTGCGTTTTTAATAGCAAAAATAACTTCCGATTCATTATTTAATGTAATTTTTACAGGACGTTTCTTTTCAGGTACAAATTTACAAAGTCTAAACAGTTTAATAGTATTTCCATCAATGTTGGGATTACCTAGGCTGAGTAGTTCCGCAACTTTGTTTCTACCAGTATTACATCTGATATCCGAGACTTCACTATAATCTGGTTCATCAAGGCCATATATAATTAAATTGCATTTACGCTTTTGGTGTTATGCTATCTCATTGATAATATCTTCAACATCAAGCACTATATTGATATTACCTGGTTTAGGAGTGTTGCTATATTCATAAATAATTGTGATCATTCTGTGACGTTTGTGAAATAAATTCTACATTTGATGTTAAAAAACAGTTTTTTAATGTCTCAGTTTCAGTTAAATTAGGCTTACTTAAGTGTTTATTAGTTATTTTTCTTTTTTTTTGTTGAATGAAATGACATTTGTTTTTCTATATTCTTATTTGCCGGTTCTTTATTTTTTCTAACATCGAATTTTTCTACTTGATTAAAATCAGACTCAATTAACATGTTTTCCACTTTTAAAGTTTTTTCGACACGTTTTAAAATGTCTGTGTTTTGTACATGTTTAATATTATCTTGTAGTTTATTTGTTAGTACTATAACATTTTGTAACAAACTATCTCTATTTTTTATATTACTGTCATTCTGCGACAAAGTTTTCAAATGTCCTGAAATTTCTTCGGAAGTTTTAACATTAACAACATCTAGCTCGTCTATTATATTGTCAGTAGAATTTCTGTTTTGTAAAATAACACCATGTATGTGCTTGCAAATTGTGTTATGAATAAAAAAATCTGGACATGAACACACAAATGAATGAACACAAATATGACATATTGAACATAATAAATAGCAACATGGACCTGCAAGAGTCGTTTTGGATACTATATAGGTATTTAATTCAGTCTTTGAACTAAGACTTGCTTGAGTCACAACAGCCCAATTATCACTATCATGTTGAGTTATTTGAAATAATGCTGTAACGGCAGATCTGTGTCGATTATGAATATTTTGAACATGTATAGAATTTTTTCCTTTAATTTTCTTTATAATACGATCAACAATTTTGTCTCGGATGTATTTATTTAAAGCAAAAAGACCTTTATCTAACCTCTTTATTTTCTTACCTCCTAAATATAAATACTTAATAACTTTATGCATGCTTTCCAAACGCATATTTGTATTAATTCCGGTATTTTGGCGATAACAGTAGGCCCACTTTTCATATATATGTGCATAATTGTTTTGGAAATATAATCCAAAATTATAGGTCTTAGGGTCTTCAAGAAGCGATGTTAATAAAGTTGACAATATTTTGTGGAATTCATCTTTATCAATTAGGGTTTGTAAAACTTTAAGCGCATGATACACATTTTGTCTAATAGAAGGATCAATAATTTTATTAATATTTGACTGCCATGCGCGGTCTACATGCCAAGCACAATATAATTGGCTCGGTACATCTCCCATGACTTGTTTCCAGGGGTTATAAAAAACATTTGTAACATCGGTCATGAATGACTTAGGTTTTAAGATCCCTATTTGTTCTTTTAATTTTTGGTAAAATACTGCAAAAATATGACTATCTTTTCTGTTGGTCAACATACATGCCCCTGGGAAACCTTCACCCCAGTCATCAACAACCAAAACGGTAGTCAACTCAAAATCGTATGAGTTTAGACCGTGGGTACTATCTATAGCAATAACATTATTACCAAATTGCATCAGCATGTTTTTTTGTGAATTATTCATTATAATTATACAAAAATCTTCATGTCTTAAATTGTAAAAATCATCTTTTGTGTTTTGCGGTTTATAAAATATCACTGGATTACTGTCTGATAGATTGCACTCTTTCACATACATGTCAACACTAATAGCGTCTGAAACAAATAAAAAATATAGATAAAATATCAAAATAAATAGAATACATACAAATAGATTGTTGTATTGTATGTGAAAAGGTATTTTTATAAACAGTTTTTAAGATCATTGGAACATCACAACATTTTTTCAATTTAATAGTGGTAGCAAAACAAATTTAAAGTAATTAAAAATATGCATTACCTTCTGAAGGTCGAACTCCTTCTTGAAGGTGGATATTGTATGAAGATTTAATATTTCGAATATCCTTTCTTGTCAACAAATCAGCCCTTTTCAATTTCTGTTCATCAAAATTTTCTCTATATGTATCCAAAATTCTAAAATAGATAGATAGCTACTTTATTCATCTCATATGATGGTAAATTGCAGTATGAGATAGGTGAAGTTTAACATGTAAATATAATTATAATTAACAATAAGATAAATATATAATTACATCAAATAGCAACTTACTTTGTCATATTAATACCAAGAGTAAGTTTCTGAGCAATGTTTATTTTATCTTCTTTCGGTAACCTCAAGTGTTTAATATCAAAATCATGTCCATAATGAGTTTTTAAAAAAGTCATTGATACTGAGGAGTTCTTATTTATAATAAGCTTTATTTGACTTGAACACGAAAAGCCTATCTTTTTGAATCCACATATTTTATTTTTAATTATTTTACTGGAAGAAGAAAAGTCACGGGTTTTTCCTGAAATTACAAATAATATACCTTATAGTAATGAAACACAATACTCAATATTTGCACATTACTAAATAAGTAATTACTGATACTAACCACTTCTGTTACAGATATAATATACTGCACTGTTTTGATTATATGTTAAAGTTGTTCCACAAGGTTTAATGTACTCGACATCATTGAGATTTTGTAGCTCCCTTAACCACATTTGGAATTCTAAAAAAAGTCGATGTAAAGTAAAGTATCTATATAGCATGTTAATTGTGTTTACCATTTATGGAATCAAACTGGCTTGTTTCCTCTTCCATTTGAAAGTTACATTTAACGTCAAAACATATCAACAAGGTTATGTTCATTGCACTGTGGCAGATTGACAGTTAATCTCCAGCCACACATGGGTTGACTGTGCTACCGAAGTGAGGGAACGTCGACGGAGAAAAGAAGAGGAGAGGGGAGTCAGCTGATGTCTGCCAGAACACGAATATCATCACACTACGAGGCAACAACGAAAAGAACTCTTACAGTTTTCTTACTTGTTTTTTAGTATGTAGTTATTGTTAATAAAGCAATAAAACAGTTTAAAGTGTGCCCAGACTACCTTGCTCACCGCAAACAGGCCACATTGGTGACCCCGAGAAAAAAAACTGTAAGTAAGTTTTATACACAAAGATGACAAACTCTGACCAAACAATGCCAAATATAAATATTACACCGTGCGAAGGCGATGACCATTCGTTAATTGCACGGGTAGGCATCAAAGCGCCAGAATTTTGGCGCACTGAACCAGAACTATGGTTTCTCCGACTGGAAGCTCAGTTTCGACAAGCCAAAATCACAACTGACAACTGTAAATTCGACCATACTGTTGCTAGTTTAAACAGTGAAGTACTTATAGAAGTAGCAGACATAGTAAAGAATCCCACTGCTGGCAATGCTTATATACAACTAAAAGCTCGACTTCTAGACAGGTATGGCACCAGCTCAGATGAAAAGATCCACAAGTTGATGGAACTCACTCTGGGTGACTTAAAACCCACTCAACTACTCCATCGAATGCAAGCTTTGGCCATGGATAGCATTAGTACGCAAGTTCTCAAAAATTTTTGGTTGGACCGCCTACCACCTTCAGTTCGAAGCGTTATATCTATTCTTGATCGAGACCTAGAAGAACTTGCTAAGAAAGCCGATACGTACCTCCGGTGTTCCAGTTTTCCAGCCATGGTTGTTACCGAAAACTCTACCTTAGACAAAACAGTGGCTGCATTGAGTGACCAAGTGAATGCTTTATCCAACAGATTAACTGTAGCTGAAGAAGGTCAACAGATTCAAATGGTCAAGACTACCAAGTCATCATCTGACGAAAAGTGTTACTACCATCGAAGATTTGGTGCACATGCAAACAAATGTAGACCACCCTGCAATTTTACAAAAAACGATCAAAGGGCGCAGTAATGGCGGCAACCGCAGCCCCTCACATACCACGCCGCCTCTTCATTACCGATAGTGCTCTCCAACTTCAATTTCTTATTGATACAGGGGCAGACCTAAGTGTGCTTCCACGTAAAATCTGCACTGCGACTCAAGCCAGCACTGTATGCCTGTATTCTGCCACCGGATCGTGCATACAAACATATGGTCAGAAACAGCTTACACTAAATCTTGGTCTAGGCCAACCTGTAACATGGACATTTATAGTCGCAGATGTCACCACACCCATACTAGGAGCCGATTTTCTGACGTACCATGGCATTAGTGTAGACATGAGAAACAAACGACTAGTAAGTCCAAGTATGTCAAGCAGTATTACCTGTGTGTCTCGTCGTGTTAGGGTGCCAGAAGTAGGCTTATCCACTGCCCATCCTTATGATCGTCCAACTGCTGCTATACCAGAGGATACTGAAAGAGTCCAGCACTATATTGAGACTCGAGGAACACCAGTTTTCTCTAAACCACGAAGACTTCCACCAGACCGTCTTCAAGCTGCACGAGCAGAATTCAACGAGCTCATGCGAACAGGCATTATCCGACCATCAAAGTCATCTTGGGCCAGTCCACTTCACTTAGTTCAGAAGTCCAATGGACCATGGCGTGCCTGTGGAGATTTCCGCCGTTTAAATGCCATGACGAAACCAGATCGCTACCCGATACCGCACATCCAGGATTTTGCTAACCAGCTACATGGTAAGAAAATTTTCTCTTGCATCGATTTGGTACGTGCTTTTTACCAAATTCCAGTCCACCCGAAGGATGTCCAAAAGACGGCTGTAATAACCCCTTTTGGGCTGTACGAGTTCCTCCGAATGCCGTTCGGTTTGCGAAATGCTGCCCAGACGTTCCAGAGGTACCTCGATCACCTTTTTCGAGAATGCTCATATGTGTATGTATACATTGACGATATTTTGGTTGCCTCGGAGACTGAGACTGAGCATGAGCAACACCTGGCATCAGTACTCCGGATTCTGGAAGCAAATGGACTCCAAATCAACAAGGATAAATCAAAATTCCGTAAACGTGAAGTAAACTTCTTGGGTGCCACGGTATCCCCAACTGGCGTTCGCCCATTGCCGGCTAAAGTTAGCGCGATTCGCAAGTTTCCACAACCTACGACCTATCGACAGCTACGACGATTTATGGGTATGCTCAATTTCTACAGACGTTGGTTACCTAATGCTGCCAATGAGCTAATGCCACTAACGGAGTTATTGTCTCAGCAAAAGAAAAAGCAGCAAGAACTAACATTAACACCAGCAGCCGCAGCAGCTTTCACCAAGGTCAAAGAACTCTTAGCCTCGTCGACTGAATTGGTCTTTCCAGCACCAAATGCCCAATTGAACATGTCTGTTGATGCCTCAGATGCTGCCATCGGCGGTGTTTTGCAACAGCTTATAGGTGAACACCTACAGCCCATCGCTTTCTTCTCTCGAAAGCTTTCTACGACGGAGCGAAACTATAGCACTTATGACCGAGAGTTGCTTGCCATATTCAGTGGCATACATCACTTCCGCCATTTTCTTGAGGGCATGCCGTTTACCATTTATACTGATCACAAGCCTTTAACGTTTGCCTTCCAACAGCGACATGAGCGGCAGTCTCCACGACAGATACGTCAACTAGAATTTATTGGCCAATTCTCGACCGATATTCGACACATACAGGGCACAGCCAATATCGTTGCCGATTGTCTCTCACGACCTGAAGTAGACGCTATCACAACACCCATTACCATTGACTATGACCGGCTATCCGAAGCTCAGACTACAGATGAGGGTCTTCAACAGACTCTGAACGATCCTGCCAGTTCCTTAAAACTTCAACGCATAGTTCTACCAGATAGCCAGCGACCTATTTATTGTTCAGTCCAAGATGGACGTATACGAGTTTATGTGCCAGCTGTGTTCCAAAGAGATGTTTTCCTAAAGTTCCACACGCAGTCCCACCCAGGGCATGCTGCTACATTACGAATGATTGCTGAACGTTTTGTATGGCATAACATGAATCGCCAAGTCAAGCAGTGGTCACGAGAGTGCATCCAATGCCAACGTGCCAAAATTGGACGTCACACCTTTACACCTGTGACACCTCTAGGAATGCCAGACGATAGATTCGCACACATACACATAGACATTGTGGGCCCACTTCCAGCAAATCAGAACTTTCGATATCTGCTCACAATCATCGACCGTTTCACAAGATGGCCAGAGGCCATACCTATCTCGGAGATTACAACCGAAGTTGTCGCACAGAAGCTCCTTGAGGGATGGATATCCAGGTTTGGCGTGCCAGCAACCATAACAACGGACCGAGGTAGGCAATTTGAGAGCCAGTTGTTCCGCCAGCTCAATGGATTGCTAGGTGTACAACATATTAAAACCACTGCCTACCACCCACAATCAAACGGATGTATTGAACGTTTCCACCGAACGCTCAAGGCTGCTCTCATCGCCGCGGATACAGTATCGTGGGTTGAAGCCCTCCCTCTGGTCACGCTAAGCCTTCGAAACACTTTCAAACAAGACATTGCATGTACTGCCTCCGAGTTAGTGTATGGTACCCCAATGAGTCTCCCTGGACAGCTTCTTGTCCCTAGTGCTGCTACACCCGACGAGCATAGTTTTGTCCAACGACTACGTGAGACCATGGGAGCATTGCGTCCTGTACCGACGAGCAACCACTCAGCCCGTACTGCCTTTGTCCATCCGGATCTACAGACTACGAGTCATGTGTTTGTGCGGACCGATAAAGTGAAGCTTCCTCTTACACCTCCTTATACCGGCCCCTTTAGAGTGTTAGAACGAAGTGATAAGTTTTTAACTGTGGATGTCCAAAATGTTCCTCAGCGAATTTCCATGGACCGACTCAAACCAGCATATATTCCAGCGGCCCAACAGGTGCAGGAAGAACATGCATATGCCAACCGTCTGATGAGCAACACAGGTCAACATAGCCGTTCGAAACCAGCAAGTTCCTCACTGGAGGGGAGCCCTGTGGCAGATTGACAGTTAATCTCCAGCCACACATGGGTTGACTGTGCTACCGAAGTGAGGGAACGTCGACAGAGAAAAGAAGAGGAGAGGGGAGTCAGCTGATGTCTGCCAGAACACGAATATCATGACACTACGAGGCAACAACGAAAAGAACTCTTACAGTTTTCTTACTTGTTTTTAGTATGTAGTTATTGTTAATAAAGCAATAAAACAGTTTAAAGTGTGCCCAGACTACCTTGCTCCCCGTAAACAGGCCACAGCACCAATATTGAAGAAAACCGACTTGTTTAAGTAATTGCCACTGTTCTGGCATATCATGCTGGAAAAGTACAAAGGAAAAAAACGTAAAATGTGGGCTAGACCTTGGCTTCTTCCACGAAATGAAAGTCCTTTTAACAATGTTTTATCCATGGTGGACAACGAACTTAGAGTAGAAGCTCCTCTAAGTTATAAAAATTATTTGAGAATGCCTTACCAGTCCTTCCAAACATTACTAAATTATGTACAAGAAGACATTGGCAAAAAAATACATCAATGCGTGAAAGCATTAATAGTGGGAACAGGTAAAAATCAATGACTGAATTAAGAGTATTTATATTTAAAAAATATTGTTCTTTACAGATTAATGGTTACTTTACGCCATTTAGGCACAGGGGAAACATTAAAAAGTTTAAGCTACTCCATGAGAATTGCACACAATACACTTAGTGTAATTATAAAGGAAGTAATGGCTGCAATATCAATAAAAAATGTAGAAACAGAATACTTAAGGGTTTGTATTTATCTATATAAAGTGCACAAAAGTAGATGTTTGAATTTGTAAT